GGGGTGTGGGGTGTCAAGTGTCAGGAATTTAGGATTGCTGCTTCCCAACCCGGTCTGGGCTTGGAACCTCACCCGGCACCGAGGGACACGGCAGGGACAGGGCGGGGACAGCACAGTGACAATTCCCGGGACTTGCATTCCCAAGGAACACCCGGCACTCCCCCCCAGGAACCCCAAAACGTGCAGACACAGGAGGAAATTACAAAAATCGGATCCCAGGAGGAAAAAAAACCCCTTTGGACACTGCCAGCTCCTTGTGGGGCCCTCTGAAAGTGCCCCCAAAGCCAGCAGGGATGTCCCCAAGGCAGGGGACGGCGGGGAGGGGACAGAGAGCGGCTGCTGAGGTTCCAAGGGGAAAAGGGCTCCCGGCCCCTTTCCGTGCCCCCCAGCCCCCCCGGCCGCAGCCAATCCTAAATTCGGGGGTTTTCGGGGAGCAGAAGCCCGGGGCAAGGGACGGTCCCTGGGGCCACTCGGGACGGTCCCTGGGGCCACTCGGGACGGTCCCCGCGGTCACTCGGGACAGTCCCCGCGGTCACTCACAGTTTGTCCCTGCAAGCAGCAGAGCGGGCAGGGAGGGAAAACAACAGCGGTTAATGCACGACCCCGGGGGGCTGGGGGGGCTCGGGGCCAGCAGGGGCGGGGACACGGCGGGGACAGCCCGACACACCGCGGGGACAGCCCGGACAGCCCATGGGGACGTCCTGGACACACCGCGGGGACAGGCGGACACACCGCGGGGACAGGCGGACACACCGCGGGGACAGCCCGGACACCAAAACCGTGGCCTTTGTGTCCCCCCTCAGAACCGCCTCAGAACCCTGCAATAACCCCAAAACGGGACCACCCCACACCCCAAAAACCAGCGGCCTTTGCGTTCCCCCTCAGAACCCCTTGCTAACCCCAAAACGGGACCATCCCACCTCCCCAAAATTCACAGCCTTCGCATCCCCCCACAGAACTCTTCACTAACCCCAAACCTGGACCACCCCACACCCCAAAAGGAGTGGCCTTTGTGTCTCCCCTCAGAAACCCAAACACGGGACCACCCCACCCCCAAAAGCCCCATCCCCCCCATCCCCCCGTCCCCACCACCGCTCACCGCTCGCAGACGCGCACGGTCCAGGCGGCGATGATCCACGAGGAGATGCTGAAGACCAGCAGCACCGTGCCGGGGCAGATGGTCATGAGCGTCTTCATGACGAAGCGTGTGTTGAAGTTGATCTTGTTGAGCGCGCCGATGCTGCGTGACGAGGCGTCGGTGAAGAGCTTGCTGTGCAGCAGCATGACGCGGCCCAGCAGGTAGAGCCGCAGGAACATGGGCACCGACAGCACGATGTCCACGTCGGCGTGGGCCACCGAGGCGGCGTAGGTGAAGGCCAGGCGCGCCGTCCAGGTGAACAGGTACTGCCCGGGGATGGGGTGGATGGCGCACACCAGCAGCTCCAGAACGATGAAGAAGACGCGCTCCGAGGTCATGGCGATGCGCCAGTCGTCGGCGCCGTTGTCCACCATGAACAGCTGAGGGGTGGTGGGAGGGTGGATGAGGGGGTTTGGGGGGATTTCGGGGGGTTTTGGGAGGATTTGGATCATTTTTGGAAGGGGGTTTTGGGTAATTTGACGGGGTTTTGGGTAATTTGAGGGGGGTTTTTTGGGTAATTTGAGGGGGGCTCACCTGGATCTCCCTGGCGTGGTACATGACGATGAGCCCCAGCAGGATGAGGGTCGAGAGGCTGATAAGGCATTTCAGGGCGAACGAATACGACGACTCCTGCGGGGGCACGGAGGCACCGTGAGCCCGGTGGGAGCCTGGAGCCCCCCAGCCCGGTGCCGGGAACCCCCCCGGACCTTGGTGTAGACCCCCCAGGACAGCTCGGTCTCGGTGACCATCACCACGATGCCAAACATGCCGAAGATCAGCGCGTAGTCGCTGAGGCGCTTGCGCTTCTCGAAGAGCGCTCGCCGGTGGCCCAGCTTGTAGCCGATGTTCTGGTTCCGCCGCTCCTCGCTCGCCCCCGGGACCGGCGGGGCCGCGGCGGGGTCGGGCTCGGCCACCCCGGGCCGCTCCGGCCGGGACACCACCACGCGGGGACCGGGGCTGGGGCAGGGCCGCGGGTCCCGGTGCGGCGGCTGCGGGGTGCGGGCGGCGCTCGGGGGGCCCCGGGGCCGCCGCACCCCCCCGTTGTAGCGACAGCTGCTCATGGCTCTGCTGGCGACGGCACCGGGCGATCCCGCATGGCTCGGCGGCGCGGGGGCGACCTGCGGGACAGGGGACACGCGGGGGAGACCCGTCAGTGGGAGACTGGGGATGGGGACACGGGGGAAACCGGCGTCCCGCCCGGCCTCGGGGCTGTTTCCCGGAGCGGTGCGGGGGCCGCGGCGGCTGTGGGGACGTGTCCTATCCGTGGGGACGTGTCCTGTCCACGGGGGACGTGTCCTGCCCGTGGGGACGTGTCTGGCCCGTGGCGGACACGCCGTGACCACAGATCCGTGTCCCGCCCACGGCGGGGGACGCGTGGCGCTCGTGGGGGACGTGGCCGTGTCCTGCCTGCGGCGGGGACAGACGGTGACCACGGGTACGCGGCCCGCGGGGACACGTCCGTGCCCGCGCCCGTGTCCGTGCCCGGTCCGTGGGGACGTGCCCGTGCCCGTGTCCTGCCCACGGAACCGTGTCCCGCCCCCTCCGCTGCGGACACGGCCGCCGGGACGCGTCCACCCGCCGCTCCCGGTGGCCGCTGTCCCCTGTCCCCTCTCCGGTCCGGAGCCGCGGCTGCGCGTCCCCGCCGCCCCCGAGCAGCCGA